ACGTACAGCCAGACCCCTCTTTACACTGCCCAAACCTTAACCCTGACCAATTTAGATGTCACGTACAGCTAGACCCCTATATTCAATGTCAAACCTTAACCCTGACCAGTAGATGTCACGTACAGCCAGACCCCTCTTTACACTACCCAAACCTTAACCTTGACCAGTAGATGTCACATACAGCTAGACCCCTCTTTACTCTACCCAAACCTTAAGCCTGACCAGTAGATGTCACGTACAGCCAGACCCCTCTTTACACTGTCCTTATATTGCTATGATACTTTTGAGACCTTGTATACTTGGTCTTATATAGCAAATACTGCTTGGCAGATGTCGTATCTTGTAGCTTTGGTTCTTTACAGGTAGCTCTCATATACTTACCATCTCACCTCTCTGACCTCAGGTACAGGGGTCATTCCCGACTGGTAACATACACATGTTCCCTAGAGCAAGCACTCCTGACTCTGACAGTTAAGTCGTGTATTGACATTTTTAATCCTGCATGCTCATAATAAATGAGGATTTAATATGTTCCTATAATCAGCTGGTTTGATCACAGCAGACCTATTGTTGTCAAAAACATCTGGTGGGGGAATTAATTAGAACAAAAATCATAAAAAACCGAGGATGATAGTTGACCAGTACTGACCCGAGCAGCATTAGGCTCATAAACAAGAACCTTCATCAGGCATGTCCTCATTACTTATTCATAATCACAAAGATGTGGTCTGCCACCATTCTATACAGTATTAGTGCTGTTACTGAGCAGTGGAGACAGATTAATTCCTAAACACCTAGCTTTACCACACAGAGCCTAATGATGACTGCAACACCTCCGTCCTGCTAATGAGTCTGAGGCTGGGCTGTAGCACCTCCCTGCCTGAGGTGTCTAGGGCCAGTGGCTGGCCACACCAAAAGGACCGAGATTTATAGACTAATATTGAAATACAAATTGGAATAAGGCAGGCCAGCAGTACTCTAATGCAAATGAGGTTGTTAACAAATTGGTGTGAAATCAGCCTCTTTCAGCATCAGGATTCAATATATTTTCAAACTGAAGTGTTGACCCCTCAGGGAGATGAGTTTCCTAGCTGAAATTCTTCCTAGACATATAGTCAGGCGAGCAACTAATATTCTGTTTTCTGTAATAAATGGGGCAAACAACACTAGCATTTAAATTTTTTCTCAATTTTCTCAAAACATCAATTACAGAGAGATTCAAAACAATCATTTGCGATGAAATTGTTTGCCTTATGTGATAAATTAAACATTCTATTGATTTACACACACAGAGTCGTTTTACTGGAAGATGCTGTTCTAAAATGACCAAGTACTGATGCCATGTGCCAAGCTCTGTGTAGAATGTTATTGTGGTAGTAATTAGCTGTATAAATGTTGTGGAGGGTGGTATTGGTGCTGGAGAGGTTGACCAATGATGGCTGTAGGCTGATCAGGGCACATTTGAAGCATTTCTATTTTGTTTTTGTACCATTGTACACTGCTGTTTGAAACAAAGCTTTCTGTTTCTGTACCGCATTAAACTGGTCATCATGGATATCAGTGGCCAGTCTTAGTCACACAATATATGTACTGATGTGGTACAGAAACAATTGTACTTTTGCCTATAGCTATCACCCCAAAGTGTGCCCCTCTTAGTCACACAATATATGTACTGATGTGGTACATAAACAATGGTACTTTTGCCTATAGCTATCACCCCAAAGAGTGCCAGACTTAGTCACACAATATATGTACTGATGTGGTACATAAACAATGGTACTTTTGCCTATAGCTATCACCCCAAAATGTGACAGTCTTAGTCACACAATATATGTACTGATGTGATACAGAAACAATGGAACTTTTGCCTATAGCTATCACCCCAAAATGTGCCACTCTTAGTCACACAATATATGTACTGATGCGGTACAGAAACAATGGTACTTTTGCCTATAGCTATATCACCCCAAAGTGTGCCACTCTTAGTCACACAATATATATACTGATGTGGTACAGAAACAATGGTACTTTTGCCTATATCTATCACCCCAAAGTGTGCCAGTCTTAGTCACACAATATATGTACTGATGTGTTACAGAAACAATGGTACTTTTGCCTATAGCTATCACCCCAAAGTGTGCCAGTCTTAGTCACGCAATATATGTACTGATGTGGTACAGAAACAATGGAACTTTTGCCTATAGCTATCACCCCAAAATGTGCCACTCTTAGTCACACAATATATGTACTGTTGTGTTACAGAAACAATGGTTCTTTTGCCTATAGCTATCACCCCAAAGTGTGCCCCTCTTAGTCACACAATATATGTACTGATGTGGTACATAAACAATGGTACTTTTGCCTATAGCTATCACCCCAAAATGTGCCAGTCTTAGTCACACAATATATGTACTGATGTGATACAGAAACAATGGTACTTTTGCCTATAGCTATCACCCCAAAATGTGCCACTCTTTTTATGCATTAGTTCTGTACCAAATAAAAGCATAACATAGTACATAAATGAAATATCAATTAATTAAACATGTCTGGATAGCTTTTGGGACAAAAGAGCAAATGTGTCGTGGTACAGAAACAAAGTATAAATACTTGTGCCTGGCCGCCTTTGGATGTTGTATACAGACATTTGTGACACGGATAGGGGACAATCTAACCCACCCAGTATTTAACTGGTGACTCCAGTTTCCTGAGAGAGGCAAGCTCCTATATCAATTTACATGTCAATCCTATATATCAGGATAAAACATTCTTGTCCAACTGGTATATAAGAGAGGTACCAAATATATAGCCCTACACAGTTGTGTGATAAAAGTGCTTCATTTGTTATGTGTGTTTTTCTATATAATGTCTAATGAATGCCCCCTCCCTCCCTACTCTGTGATTATGGTTTCTCAAATGTAGTGATTATGGTTTCTCAAATGTATAACCATCTCACCATCTAACATTAATAGTATTCCACCAACGATAATAGTCCTACCAATGATATAGTATCCCACCAATGATAATGGTATCCAAGCAATGATAATAGTATCCCAGCAATGATAATGGTATCCCAGCAATGATAACAGTATCCCAGCAATGATAACAGTATCCCAGCAATGATAATGGTATCCCAGCAATGATAACAGTATCCCAGCAATGATAATGGTATCCAAGCAATGATAATAGTATCCCAGCAATGATAATGGTATCCCAGCAATGTTAATAGTATCCCAGCAATGATAATAGTATCCCAGCAATGATAACAGTATCCCAGCAATGATAATGGTATCTCAGTAATGATAACAATATCCCAGCAATGATAATGGTATCCCAGCAATGATAACAGTATCCCACCAATGATAATAGTATCCCACAAACAATAATAGTATCCCACCAACGATAATAGTATCCCCAAACGATAAAAGTATCCCACCAACGATTAAAGTCTCCCACCAGTGACAATAGTTTCCCTCCAATGATAATAATTTGAGGAAACCTATTCACCCAGAATAAAGATGAAAAGACAGGCTTCCAATACCGTTGTTTAAACCAAAGCTCACTTAATTAAGCATGGTTGGTATATGTAATTCACTTAATTAAGCATCGTATATGTAATTGGTCGAACAAAATATATTAATAAGACTGTATCATCAGCGTGTAGTGATTGACTTGTTACTGTTCCTACAACCTGTTACTGATGTGTGAGTGTTGTGATTGACTTGTTACTGTTATTGGTGTGTGATTGTTGTGATTGACTTGTTGCTGTTCCTACAACCTGTTACTGGTGGGGGATTGTTGTGATTGACTTGTTACTGTTATTGGTGTGTGATTGTTGTGATTGACTTGTTACTGTTCCACAACCTGTTACTGGTGTGTGATTGTTGTGATTGACTTGTTGCTGTTCCTACAACCTGTTACTGGTGGGGGATTGTTGTGATTGACTTGTTACTGTTTCTACAACCTGTTACTGATGTGTGATTGTTGTGATTGACTTGTTGCTGTTCCTACAACCTGTTACTGGTGTGTGATTGTTGTGATTGACTTGTTACTGTTATTGATGTGTGATTGTTGTGATTGACTTGTTACTGTTACTGGTGTGTGATTGTTGTGATTGACTTGTTACTGTTCCTACAAACTGTTACTGATGTGTGCTTGTTGTGATTGACTTGTTACTGTTCCTACATCCTGTTACTGATGTGTGATTGTTGTGATTGAATTGTTACTGTTCCTACAAACTGTTACTGATGTGTGATTGTTGTGATCGACTTGTTACTGTTACTGATGTGTGATTGTTGTGTTTGACTTGTTACTGTTACTGATGTGTGATTGTTGTGTTTGACTTGTTACTGTTACTGATGTGTGATTGTTGTAATTGACTTGTTACTGTTACTGATGTGTGATTGTTGTAATTGACTTGTTACTGTTACTGATGTGTGATTGTTGTAATTGACTTGTTACTGTTACTGATGTGTGATTGTTGTGATTGCCTTGTTACTGTTACTGATGTGTGATTGTTGTGATTGACTTTTTACTGTTCCTACAACCTGTTACTGATGTATGATTGTTGTGATTGACTTGTTACTGTTCCACAACCTGTTACTGGTGTGTGATTGTTGTGATTGACGTGTTACTGTTCCTACAACCTGTTACTGGTGGGGGATTGTTGTGATTGACTTGTTACTGTTATTGGTGTGTGATTGTTGTGATTGACTTGTTACTGTTTCTACAACCTGTTACTGATGTGTGATTGTTGTGTTTGACTTGTTACTGTTACTGATGTGTGATTGTTGTGATTGACTTGCTACTGTTACTGATGTGTGATTGTTGTGATTGCCTTGTTACTGTTACTGATGTGTGATTGTTGTGATTGACTTTTTACTGTTATTGATGTGTGATTGTTGTGATTGACTTGTTACTGTTACTGATGTGTGATTGTTGTGATTGATTTTTTACCGTTCCTACAACCTGTTACTGATGTGTGATTGTTGTCATTTCAGATACATCTATGAAAACACAGGCTTCCAGACTGAACGAAGATATGAAGATTTGGGTCAGTATAAAGTTAAATTGATAATTGAGGATATTTATGCTTCTCTCCCTGCTTGAAAATATTGTCCATCCATCACCCTTCTTGTTTATTTTAGGGACAAATCGTTTAAGGCCATGGTTAACATTTGTATCACCTTATTTTTCGTGTTAAGTGTTGTTTGATATGAAGAAGACATTTTTGTCATGAATAATTAAACCATGTGGAGTTGAAACATTTGAATAAGTCAAGGTTTGTTCTTTGTCTCTCAAATGGCAGCCATGTCGGGTACAAAGGGCAGCCATGTCGGGTACAAAGGGCAGCCATGTCGGGTGCAAATGGCAGCCATGTTGGGTGCAAAGGGCAGCCATGTCGGATGCAAAGGGCAGCCATGTCGGGTGCAAAGGGCAGCCATGTCTGGTACAAATGGCAGCCATGTTGGGTACAAAGGGCAGCCATATCGTGTACAAAGGGCAGCAAGTCGGGTACAAATGGCAGCCATGTCGGGTACAAAAGGCAGCCATGTCAGGTACAAATGGCAGCCATGTCGGGTACAAAGGGCAGCCATGTCGGGTACAAAGGGCAGCCTGCATGTGAACAGGACTAGTTACAAACACGTTGTCGCAATTCCTACAATTATCTCTATTTCAAGTGTCTGTAAAAGGTCACAACAAAAGTGCTTGTCAAGGTCGACTAATGAAGATACATGGTGCTACTGAGCATGACAAATGTTTCTTATTCTGTGTGATATAAGGGGGAAAGTGCTGTGGCCTCCTATTAAACAAGCACATGACATGTACATTAATGAAAGTGTTGCTAGTCATTGTTCTGTTTGATTGACGTTAACATAAGACCAGTGTTCACCACATTCATTTGATCGAAGCTACAATGACAACCAGTAGTCAAAGCATCTAACTAATTAAAGCTATTATACAATACATCTATCAAAACCATATTCATATCTCCTACTCTATACTTTTAGGGTGAAATTATCATTACAGTATATATCAGTATACAGCATACCTTCTGTAGTAATGACATGTAAAGGGCAAATATAGATTCTACCAGTGAGGGGCAATTACTGGACAAGGTGAAATTTTCCTGGTATACAATATTTAATGAAGCTAACATATATCAAAACCAGCATTGACAGCATGTATTTTGTATCAATTTTTTGTTCCATAAACTTTGGGTTTATGTTACTTGTGTGTAGGGTATGGTTGATATTTGGGTTTGTGTTACTTGTGTGTAGGGTATGGTTGATATTTGGGTTTGTGTTACTTGTGTGTAGGGTATTGTTGATATTTGGGTTGTGTTACTTGTGTATAGGGTATGGTTGATATTTGGGTTGTGTTACTTGTGTGTAGGGTATGGATGATATTTGTGTTTGTGTTACTTGTGTGTAGGGTATGGTTGATATTTGTGTTCTTTAGGGTAAGGCTTATGTATTCAGACCCTTGTGTGTAGGGTATGGATGATATTTGTGTTTGTGTTACTTGTGTGTAGGGTATGGTTGATATTTGGGTTTGTGTTACTTGTGTGTAGGGTATGGTTGATATTTGGGTTTGTGTTACTTGTGTGTAGGGTATGGTTGATATTTGGGTTTGTGTTACTTGTGTGTAGGGTATGGTTGATATTTGGGTTTGTGTTACTTGTGTGTAGGGTATGGTTGATATTTGGGTTTGTGTTACTTGTGTGTAGGGTATGGTTGATATTTGGGTTTGTGTTACTTGTGTGTAGGGTATGGTTGATATTTGGGTTTGTGTTACTTGTGTGTAGGGTATGGTTGATATTTGGGTTTGTGTTACTTGTGTGTAGGGTATGGTTGATATTTGGGTTTGTGTTACTTGTGTGTAGGGTATGGTTGATATTTGGGTTTGTGTTACTTGTGTGTAGGGTATGGTTGATATTTGGGTTTGTGTTACTTGTGTGTAGGGTATGGTTGATATTTGGGTTTGTGTTACTTGTGTGTAGGGTATGGTTGATATTTGGGTTTGTGTTACTTGTGTGTAGGGTATGGTTGATATTTGGGTTTGTGTTACTTGTGTGTAGGGTATGGTTGATATTTGGGTTTGTGTTACTTGTGTGTAGGGTATGGTTGATATTTGGGTTTGTGTTACTTGTGTGTAGGGTATGGTTGATATTTGGGTTTGTGTTACTTGTGTGTAGGGTATGGTTGATATTTGGGTTTGTGTTACTTGTGTGTAGGGTATGGTTGATATTTGGGTTTGTGTTACTTGTGTGTAGGGTATGGTTGATATTTGGGTTTGTGTTACTTGTGTGTAGGGTATGGTTGATATTTGGGTTTGTGTTACTTGTGTGTAGGGTATGGTTGATATTTGGGTTTGTGTTACTTGTGTGTAGGGTATGGTTGATATTTGGGTTTGTGTTACTTGTGTGTAGGGTATGGTTGATATTTGGGTTTGTGTTACTTGTGTGTAGGGTATGGTTGATATTTGGGTTTGTGTTACTTGTGTGTAGGGTATGGTTGATATTTGGGTTTGTGTTACTTGTGTGTAGGGTATGGTTGATATTTGGGTTTGTGTTACTTGTGTGTAGGGTATGGTTGATATTTGGGTTTGTGTTACTTGTGTGTAGGGTATGGTTGATATTTGGGTTTGTGTTACTTGTGTGTAGGGTATGGTTGATATTTGGGTTTGTGTTACTTGTGTGTAGGGTATGGTTGATATTTGGGTTTGTGTTACTTGTGTGTAGGGTATGGTTGATATTTGGGTTTGTGTTACTTGTGTGTAGGGTATGGTTGATATTTGGGTTTGTGTTACTTGTGTGTAGGGTATGGTTGATATTTGGGTTTGTGTTACTTGTGTGTAGGGTATGGTTGATATTTGGGTTTGTGTTACTTGTGTGTAGGGTATGGTTGATATTTGGGTTTGTGTTACTTGTGTGTAGGGTATGGTTGATATTTGGGTTTGTGTTACTTGTGTGTAGGGTATGGTTGATATTTGGGTTTGTGTTACTTGTGTGTAGGGTATGGTTGATATTTGGGTTTGTGTTACTTGTGTGTAGGGTATGGTTGATATTTGGGTTTGTGTTACTTGTGTGTAGGGTATGGTTGATATTTGGGTTTGTGTTACTTGTGTGTAGGGTATGGTTGATATTTGGGTTTGTGTTACTTGTGTGTAGGGTATGGTTGATATTTGGGTTTGTGTTACTTGTGTGTAGGGTATGGTTGATATTTGGGTTTGTGTTACTTGTGTGTAGGGTATGGTTGATATTTGGGTTTGTGTTACTTGTGTGTAGGGTATGGTTGATATTTGGGTTTGTGTTACTTGTGTGTAGGGTATGGTTGATATTTGGGTTTGTGTTACTTGTGTGTAGGGTATGGTTGATATTTGGGTTTGTGTTACTTGTGTGTAGGGTATGGTTGATATTTGGGTTTGTGTTACTTGTGTGTAGGGTATGGTTGATATTTGGGTTTGTGTTACTTGTGTGTAGGGTATGGTTGATATTTGGGTTTGTGTTACTTGTGTGTAGGGTATGGTTGATATTTGGGTTTGTGTTACTTGTGTGTAGGGTATGGTTGATATTTGGGTTTGTGTTACTTGTGTGTAGGGTATGGTTGATATTTGGGTTTGTGTTACTTGTGTGTAGGGTATGGTTGATATTTGGGTTTGTGTTACTTGTGTGTAGGGTATGGTTGATATTTGGGTTTGTGTTACTTGTGTGTAGGGTATGGTTGATATTTGGGTTTGTGTTACTTGTGTGTAGGGTATGGTTGATATTTGGGTTTGTGTTACTTGTGTGTAGGGTATGGTTGATATTTGGGTTTGTGTTACTTGTGTGTAGGGTATGGTTGATATTTGGGTTTGTGTTACTTGTGTGTAGGGTATGGGTGATATTTGGGATTGTGTTACTTGTGTGTAGGGTATGGTTGATATTTGGGTTGTGTTACTTGTGTGTAGGGTATGGTTGATACTAGTGTTAACATTGCGTGTGAGGAAGCCGTGGCGGGCAGTAGTAGACTATCAGTGGCTGTAAGATTACTCGCACGACACCTCCTATCTATGATTTAACTTGACGTGTGTGTTAGCATTGCTCTGATTTTGTCATTGATCAATAATTGACTCCATTATCTGTCGGTCAGGTCACTAGCTTGTGTTTGTCTTTCTGTTACGCCTGTCTCTCAGATCACTTGAATTCTGATCTTACAGCTTTGTGGAAAACTGTTTTCTAAATCAGGCTAACTCCATACTTAGCTGTAAGACTTTGTATCATATTGTGTTATCTATATGTTTGTTTAAATTCCAAGCTCTTAAGACTTAGTGGCAAATTGTATTGTCTATCTCTGCACTTTCTACTGTTTATATACATCCCATGTTGGTAAATACTGATTACTGAATCTAGTGAATTACAAGTTCTAATGAAAAACTGTTTTAGTCATGATCTTGTAACAGTTGAATGTGTTTGGAAGTCTGGCATGCATTGTTTTAAAAGCTTTCTTCCGTGAAGATGAAAACATGTCATATGCAATCAGACACCTTGGCATAAATTTGTACTTTAAAATGTTGACAGATTTTTATCTTCTCAACAAAAGTACACTGTGCATGCTAACTGTAGATAAGAAACTGTCCTAGACATTGGTATTGTAGAACTCATCAATACCCTATGGAAGTTATGACACATGCAGACCTCAGCACTAATGTCCTTTAAGGAAGGAATTATGCATGCAGACCTTGCAATCTCCCATAGGGGAGGACTGATGCATGTAGATCTCAGCAATGTCCTATAGGGAAGGGTTAATGCATGTAGATCTCAGCAGTGTCCTATAGGGAAGGGATGATGTACACAGATCTCAGCAATCTCCCATAGGGAAGGGTTAATGCATGTAGATCTCAGCAATGTCCTATAGGGGAGGACTGATGCATGTAGATCTCAGCAATGTCCTATAAGGGAGGACTGATGCATGTAGATCTCAGCAATGCCCTATAGGGAAGGGATGATTTATACAGATCTCAGCAATCTCCCATAGGGAAGGGTTAATGCATGTAAATCTCAGCAATCTC